ATAAGAGAAAATTTATTATATACAGAGGGAGCTTTGGCAGAATATGCAAAGATGAAGGATTTGTTCGTGTGTCATTCATCTAATTATTCAATTATTCATTTACTAATATTCAATAAATATCTACTGAATGGGTACCATTTCAGTGTTAATTTTTGTAATGGCATTACCCATATTCAACAAAATTCTTAAAACTTCATTAAAACTTCAATGTCAAGAGGACTTTGGACATAATCACATTTGTTTTAACTGCAGGTATATCTTTGGAAAAAAAAAAAGTGGCCAATTTCTTAAAATGTGTTTCCAGCTGATAGATGCCTTCTGGGATGTATGAATGAGAGCTCCCCTGATTAAATACCAAGGGACATTAAAAATAATTAGGCGATTAAAATTTCAGAAAAAAATTAAATCCAAAACACTTGTCTAGAAGTTTTATATGCCATCGATAAGATTCAGCATAAACCTAACATGTCTTAACATGATTGCATTTTCTATAAACAAAGATACTTTATTAACAGCCTAGAGGTGCTTCAAAGTTTGGAATGAGACCTGTGTATTTACAAATTGTAATCTGATGTCTCTTTAGAGACAAAAATTATAACCTTAAATTTTATCCATGAAAATAAACCTTTTTTTCTTCCCATACATATTACACTGATATTCAAGAGGAAGAAAGGAAATAATTTGAGAACCTGCTGGAGGTGAATGGCTTAGCTCCCACTCTGCTTTGAACATGTTAGAGCTTTGTTAACAGAGTATTATTTCATAATTCGTACTGGGGTTATGTCCCAATGTTAAAACATTCAAAAAATTAAAGAAATAGCTATAGGAATATCATGAATTCATGAATCTTGTTAAGAGAGTACTAATTGCATTTTAGGAACCATAAGAATTAAGTAAAAAGAGTGTCAGTTTTAAAATCAAGTAGACGAGTGTTCAAATCCTGACTCTGCCACAAAGCAGCTTTGTGATTTTTTAGAAATTTAGTCTTTTCAGATTCTTCAAAAAGTGGCAATGATACCTTTAGGGTAGATGTTTAGGGTAGGGTCTTAGGGTAGATGTGAAAATAAACCAGAGGAAAAGTTTTATTTTTAAAGTTCCTAGCATAGTGTCCAGCACACAAGTACCCATAAATATTGGCCCCTCTCTTTTTCTCCTTTCTTTTTTCATAATAGTTCCTGTTTTCTGTCTTAAGCAAGTTTTAACTTTTGATGAAATTTGTTCAAGGAAATTACTGAAGTTGACTTTCTCAACATATTTAAAAAATACAATAGCAAATGACAAGCAGAATATAATGAATGCATATCTGATTTACTTCATTACACTCACCATTTCTTGAAAAGAATGCAGTGTGCTAGATGAAGCGATCAAGGCATATTTTTAAATTAATGTTTTAATTAACATTTCTAATTATATGTGTAAAACTGTGCCTAGACGGCATCTTTTGCTCCTCGAGAAGCCACTACTCTATGACACTGCTATATTTCAAAGGAAACGTTTTTTTAAATGGAGACAAAACATACACTAATATTAGTGAGATGTCATCTACATTTTAGTTACAAGAGCAGATCCAGTACCGAAACCGTTATCTCTTTTTTGTGTCCTATTTAAGTGAAACTGAACTTACAAAAGGATCACTGAGATTTGTAAAAAATTTAGATAGATCACTTCATTTACCGGCTACTTCAGAGAACAACGTAGTTTTAAATTGGTATATTTTCAAAGCATGTGTCTTTAATTTTCAGTTTAGCGAATGAATGATTCCTTTTTCTAAATCATCATAGAGTGGTTTTGGCAGTACTAATGCTCTCAGAGATCAGGTCTATATTTGTGCTGATTAAAAAGATAGAGCCATGATACTCTATCCCTGAGCAAAATATTCTCAAATCTCTTGAAATATTGAGGTATCATTGCATCTGGGAGGATGAGAAGTAGAAATCATAAGGACGGGAAAGAGTTCTGAAGCAATTTTTCATCACCACTAGATAGAAGCAACTGTCCAATGGAAGTGGGGTTGAATTAACCGGTTGTAATGTGTATTTGTGGTGGGGAGGTGATGGGCATATCAAGTGAAAAGACAAGTTTTTTATTGGGAGCTGTCTCCTCAATCTCATTTTCAACAACAATCAAAATGCTTATGGGAGGTTTTCCATAAATATTAAGAAGGTGAAGAGCACTGGCTTCAACTTAGCCCAGACAATACAAGGTAGATAGTGAAGATGCACATTAGAATCTGATCTCATAAAATGTTTAGCAATAATGAATTTGTAAAAGAAAGATTTAATTATTTATTACATTTCCTGTCACCTAGCTTGCTTTAAAAAAAAAAAAATCATCTTTTCATAAGAAAATACTCAGTCCACTGTTTTACTGTCCTAGCTATACTGTTCAGCAATTTTTGTATATCTATATTTATAGAATCTTTCATGTTTTTGAGCATTGATATTCAAAATTTTAACTATTGAACAGATGTGTGTATATCTTTGTGTTACAATCTATGAAGTAATTAGAAAAGATAGATTACATCAGCTTTTAACTGTTGAATGTAATGTTGGTAATCTGAATTGCCATAAATTATCCTGGCAATTAAACATACAGTTATAAAAATATGCCAATATTCTCAACAATATATTTATAAAAATATTTTTAATTCAGGGGGTTAATCAGCATATCCTAAAGGTTATTATTATACTTCAACAAAAATTTATCATGCTTATAACAGACGTTAGGTTTCAAAGTTTAAAATGTGTGTGCTGAACAAGATCTATAAGATATTTGAATTTCTCTTAATCAGAAAGAATAATAGCAATGTTTCAGATATTTCTTATTTATGTAAAGTATGAATTAATTAAGGTTATCTTACATGGAAAGTTATTTGATCTCTTACTATTTCAATATCAAAGTGACCATAAAATTCATAGAGAACTTTCATTTTCTCACAGTTTTTTTCTGTGAATTTGAACTTGACCTTCTGGGAATAACTACAACAGAAAAATAAATATCATAAAAATTACAAAATTTTACAGCTTATATATAATGGAAATCTATTTTACCTTTTATAAATCTTTGAGAACCATTAAGCAAGTAAATGGAAAACACCTTATTTTCCAAAACCAGAGATTTTTAGAAACATTGTCAATGTTTGAAAGGTTTTACTAAAGAGACATTTCTTCTATCTGTTGAGCTTAGATACTTTCTGCTTTGATGAATGCTCGTGTTTCTTTAAGTTCTTAAGAGGAAGAAGAACTTTTCTAAATTTGCAATTATACATCTTTTCGCTTCACCTTGTTTGAACTGTCTAGTGACCTAATGGTATATTCATTATATTTACTCACTCAAAATATTAAGCACCTCTTGTGTATCAGTCTCATTAACGAGTTAGTGTTTCTCTTTGAGGGTAACTTTCTTGGCATAAATCTTCACTCCACGACAGCGAGTTTGCAGAATGGCTGAGCTCTGATGAGAGCTCTATTGAAAGGCTCTCCAGCTCTATGTTTTCTTATTCATAAGCAGTGTAAGTGCTTGCTTTCTTTCTACCTGCACTAACCTTTATTAACATAAGCATTTACATAAAATACTTTGATAAAGCCCATTTAACTTCTACTGATGTGCTGATTTGGCTTAAACGCACTAATTCATAAGTACAGTTTTTTAAGTGTTTCTTTAACAATGTCTTATCTGAATTTTGATTCTAGTATCTGAAGTACTAGTTATCCGTGTATTTCGATTCTTTGCCATCATTACTTAAGGGGAAATGTTTCCTGGGATGCTTCTCCGGGTGACTAGAAGTAGGTATTACAAATGTCAGTTTAAATAGCAAACCATAACAGAGATGATGATTTCAATGTTTTAACATACCCACCCACACTTTCTTACTCTCATTGTCTAATTCATAGTTTTATTTAAAAAAAAAAAAAAACCTAGTTAACCATTTTTCTTAAAAAAAAAAAAAATGTAGTATGTTCTGTTGTGGTTACAATGATCGAAAAGCCGGAAATTGTATGAAACCCGAAAGATATGTTTTTTTTCAGTTTTACAAGTCTATTCGAAATTTATTTTCTAATTAAACAAGTAAGCCTTGCTCTGCCTCCTCCCACTCCCCCGCCTTGGTGCTTACTCAGTGAACAGCAGCAACCTGCTGCATTTTATAGCTGTGGAATTTAATGGGAAGGGTCTCTCTAAGAAACCATGTGAACAAGGGTGCATCACAGTGGATACAACATAGTGAACACAGACACAAGATAAGAGCTCCCTTTTTTCAATCTCTCCCAAATCTTCCATCCCTTGCCAGTATTCTCTAGTCTCTAGTCACAAAAGGCAGCTGAGTTCACAGCTGGAACAACAAGTTGTGCTGTGAATCTCAGTGATTTACCCAAGTAGCAAACAGGGTCATTGGCTTAATTGGAATTTCAGTTGCCAAGCGGACTAGGAATCCCTAGCGTTGGTCCAGCAACACGGATAAAAGTGTTTCTGCTTCTTGATAGAGAATGAAAATGACGCAGAGTGTAATTGATCGACAGGAAATTGATCACTTTCCTTTCTTCATTCCCCCAGTTTAGGTGCCAGAGAGTCTAGGGCTCACTCATGCATGCCCAGGGGCCACCAAGATCTCCATTTTCCCCAAACGCATAAAAGGCTAAAAACAGCCTTCTTCCCCAGCACCATGGCGTGGCTGCAGCTGCTTTGTTTACCATATAAGTCACACCAGGGGTTCACTCCTCGCCTTCTCCCCTGCTTTAAAGCTGGATGCACTGAAAGGCTGAGAAGCATCCCCAAACTCCCGCTCAGCCCAGGTCAACCACAGAAAAGCTTCACAAATCCGGTCTGGAGCCTTAAAGAGAAACCAAGCAGCCGAGCCTTTTGAACTCGTAACCCCCCAGGGATGTCCGCCTCCCAAGAGGGAGCCGGCTTCCCAGGCTGCTTGAGAAACTTAACCGAGATCCCAGAAAGGAGGCGAGGTGCAGCTCCGGTCAAATGGAGCTCTGAGGCGACACCCTCTTTACCTGCAAAGTTGGCAATTTTCTGGCTGAAGAGCGATCGATCCAAGGACATGCGGCGCGGGTGCTGTGCCGGGTGAGAGCACGCCCGGCAAATTCCAATGGGATTTCCTTAGTCGCTGCCGAGTTTTGGAGCATTCCAAGGAAAACGCACGAAGCTAGAGCCCACGCAACTGGCACCGAACTGGGCGGAGTGAGGATGCTCTGAGAGCGGTGCCATGGGAGGCGGGGGAGGGGCAGCTCCGGAGGGGGAGGTGAGCTCCGGGGGAGGAGAACTTCGCCCACCCCCCCCCCCACCGATCCCTCGGGATAAAGTTAGCGTTCCCACGGCTGACAGCGGATGAGCCCGGAGGAAGATACCCCGCCCTCCGTCCCGGGCGGCTGCCTGACTCAGGGTCCGCACAGACCCTGCTGGGTAGGGACCGCGGGTGAAGATGCGCGTCCCACGCACTGCTCTGCGTGGCCGTGGACGGGACCCGCGCGCGGGCGGACGCTGACGCTGGGTCCCCGGCTCCACTGCCCCCAGACAGCCGCCGCCTCCCGGGACCAACTCCTTGAGGTCAGCCAGTTGGGCAGGCGCGCTCACCACACCGGCCGTCGTCCAGCCAAGTCAGCGGCCAGAACCCACGGTGTGGTCCTGGGTGCCGGCCGGGCACACCTTTAGTCTTTGGGCGGGCTCCGCAGAGACGACGGAGTTCAATTCGCGCGGGGACCCGGCTCCTGAACGTTCTGTTCCCAAACCAGTGAACCAGCACCCAGGAGGCAGGTCGCCCGACTTGAAAAAAGTAACCCCTACTCCCACCTCCACCCGGGAACTCTCAAAGCTTCTCCCACTCCGGCTCCTCTGGGCTCCCGGCACCCCCTCTCCCGTCCTCAAGGTGTCAGACTTCCCCTGCTAGAGCCGGAGTCTGCGGCTTGCCACTAGTGTCAACAATTGAGACAGTCGCAATGAATAAATGATGAGGCACAGCGTTCCATCCACCCCCACCCAGCCCGGTCCTTCCAACAAGCATAGGAACTCAATAAGTTTCCAAATATTAAATAAAAACCCCAAACACGCACCAGCCCCAGAGCGCGAGGTTCGGTGGCTTCAGGTGGGGAGTGTGTGAGTGTGTGTGTGGGGGGGGGGGGTGCATGCGTGCGTGTGCGTGTGTGTGATGCTTGCCTCAGCGTTCTGAGATTTCAGGATAAAAGTTATCTCTTGGCCAATCTCTGTGGAGTTCACATCCTAAAATAAGACCAAAGTGCGGAGAGGAAATGCCATATATTGGTAAAGTTGGCAGTAACTTACTTGCTGTAAATGAGACGTGGTGGTTCCCAGCTTGTGACTCACGGAGCCTTGGTTGGTCACGGCCCACTGACTTGAGAGTCCATTTGTAAAATGAAGAGTGGCGTCCATGCGGAATCTTAACTAAGGAGTGTCCGCCGGAGACCGTCGGTTTTTACTTGATTTCCTTTATTTTCCGAAAGCCCCGGGGTGAGCGGTGGGTCGCCGACCGCGTCTCAGCAGCTGCCTACTCCAGCTTCGGGCTGTGCAACAGATGAGTGGCAACCCTTCCTTCCCGTCCCAGCCACGCGATCTTACACCTTCCTGGAATCGGTGCTGAGCGGACTGAGAGGAGCACCAGTTTCTTCCCAAGGAATATTCCCCAAGGGCGTCGAGGGTAGGCGGCAAGCCGGCACTCACACGCAGACTCCAAAGCGCAAGATTAAATTTCCTTCTTGGTTATCTCCCCCACCCCCATTTTTTTTTTTCCCCTTTCCTCTTTAGTTCACGTGAGTTGAGGGTTTGGGGAGGGGGGATATTTACATGAATAAAGAGGATATCTCTAGAGATCACCCACTTGTGTGATGTGCATGCTGCTTTCTTCTTTTAAATCACTTTTCTAATTTCCAAACGTCTCTTTCTCTCTCGTTTACTACTCGTCTCCTGTATTTATCTCAAGCTCAGCCTTGACACCGGTTCTAAATTTTTAGGAGTACTACCTCTAGATCACCTCCTCCAAAATACTGAAGTACAGGAGACAAACCTGCCTATAATAGCTCTCCAGAAAACAAAGGCAAGAACAACAAAAGGATTCCCTTCTTTCCTGAATCTCTTTTGACTCTTAACCACGAAAATACATTAACATCTTTAAATGTTTTGTTTAGTTTTCTTAATGTTAAATGATGGCTTTTCTAAAATATGCAAGAACACATCTATCTGTAGACATGGTAATGAACTTTATAATAAACACAAGTCTGCTTTCTATTTAACAGGGGGGGATATATATGAAAATCTGTTTTATGCAATACAACTGTAAATATTTTTATATTTTTTCAGGAAATAACTCCTCTTCCTCTTCATCCTCAGTAACTGAAATGTTTCAGTACCTAAAGAAATAAAAATGAAGCTAACAATTATTGATGGAATCTTTTGTCTCAACCAGATAAAATTCTGCATTGTCTATTTCAGTGTGTTTTTAAAAATAAACTCCTAGTAGAATTACACTTACCAAGATAAGTATATGTCTTTGTAATATATTTTAAAATACTTTTAAAAGAAGGTGGACCAGGGCGCCTGGGTGGCTCAGTGGGTTAAAGCCTCTGCCTTCAGCTCAGGTCATGATCCCAGGGTCCTGGGATCGAGCCCCACATCAGGCTCTCTGCTCAGCAGGGAGCCTGCTTCCCATCCTCTCCCTCTGCCTGCCTCTCTGCCTACTTGTGATCTCTGTCTCTCTGTCAAATAAATAAATAAAATTTTTTAAAAAAAAGAAGGTGGACCAGTGACAACACATAGCTATTCATCAGAAATTAATAACTCTATTTTGCAAATATAACATCTGTACCAAATTGTATACCTCCTCCTGCCTCTTTTAGGATAGGTATTTTGTAACAAATGCCATCTCTGTCATGATGTTGGTAAAGAGACATTTTGTCTATTTCCTTAAGTTGTTTTTTCTGTAAGAAATGTGCCTGTGACTCTACAACAAATACAAAACAGAAAGGAACAGTGAGGATAGCCATCTGACTGAGCTTTGTTTCCATGAGAAGAAGAATGTTCTATTGATCCTGGAACCTATTTTCAACAGTTTCAGGTGATTATTGATTGCTAACCTCATGCCACTAAAATGATTAGCAATTACAGGAAAATTATTTGAAATCTGTTAAGCAACACAGTGAACTGTGTATATTACAGTCATCAGCAATACAAAGAGGAAGGTTTGTTTGTGGTTTTTGTTTACATTTTTAAAATACAAGTTTGGCATCATTCCACAAACCTGCAAATGCAGTTCACTTAAAATGCAATTCATTGATGCCAAAGAAATTTATAAGAAAATGTTATATTCTTACTGGAAATTTCTTTTCAGTACCTGAGTTAGAAAAACAAGAAAGCACTCTTGTTTCAAAATTAGCAAGACAAGTGACCCAAGAAATGATCGCAGTAAAACAATTCTCTGCAATGCCAATTCATAGCTTAAATATATCACAGAGCTGGAACTCCAATTGTATTAGGAACTCAACTTTCAACTTAATTTCTGAAATGATACTTCCAGTTAGGAGCTGATATGAGCATGTGAAGCACTTTCTTCCAGAGCCGTTATGTCTCAGACTCAGAGGAAATCACAGAAACAGGTATTTGGAAAATGGTAGTTCTGTATGTGTATCATAGTCATTATTTAATGTGGTGGTAATACTCTGTATACTTGCATATAATGCATGCTATCATCAGATATAAGACAATGGCTTTTTCTTAGGCAAATTTGGGAAACAGGTGAGCATTGTCTTTGAAGCCCATGTGACCTGTCTTTTATCTGTGTGACCAGGACTTTCCCTTATTCTGCACAAGGGGTTACCCAAAACCCCTCACTAAAGGGCTTGAGATCACTCAGCTTTCCTTGTAGATAGTGGCTCCTGCCCCAAGTTTGTTTTTTTTTGTTTGTTTTTTGTTTTTGTTTTTTTTAGAGAGAAGCAAGAGCGAGCACAGGCAGACAGAGTGGCAGGTAGAGGCAGAGGGAGAAGCAGACAGAGTGGCAGGTAGAGGCAGAGGGAGAAGCAGGCTCCCCGCCAAGCAAGGAGCCCAATGTGGGACTCGATCCCAGGACGCTGGGATCACGACCTGAGCCGAAGGCAGCTGCTTAACCAACTGAGCCACCCAGGCATCCCTGCCCCAAGTTTTTGCACCCCCCCCCCTTTTGCCATCAGTTGTAACTAGGCTTTGATCTAAACCACATGGATCATGCTATCAACACAGCATTTTACCTGCTTTTTAAAAATTTTTAATATTTTCTAAGTTACTAAGCTTTCTTTTTAAAAATTATTTTAATAATTCATTATACACTTCTGTGAAATATTTAAGTATTCTCAAGTCTTGTAAAAGTGGTTTGTTTTTATAGTTTTATCCCTATTTTAAGACTTTGTTGAAAGACATCTCTGTACAATCAGATTTTGTCCTCAGAACAGATTCTTAGAAATAGAACCACTACACCAAAATGCAGGAATATTTTAAAGCCCGTGATACATATTATATGTGTTTTATGGAGCTCTCACTAAGCAGGGAATACATAATCTTTTCCCTCATTTCCTTCTATATTTTTGCTAACTTACCATTTTTGAAGAGCAGCATCTCAATGTAATGAGTTGTATTATTAAAAAATATGGCTTTTATATACTTTTTTGCTTTGCTATTTGTTTCTTTTCTTGTGAGTTTATATACTTTTTCAATACTCACAGGGGTTTTAGTGCTATGTTTCCCCATGAGATTTATAATAGGTCTTAAAGCAGTAAGAGCATTAATTACTTATATTTATAGTAGATCTTGCTTGTTTTTTATTTATTGTTAAAATATTGGGTAATGTTAGTTGTTTTTTTAAAAAAGTTTAATTCTTAAATGCTTTAAACTATCACATTTTTCCTGAATAGTTTATGTTAGTACTTTAATATTACATAAGCCTTGTCCCCCTTTATATTCACCAATTTCTTGAGCATTTGTTTTAATAATTTCATTTCTTATAGAACTGCTTAGTTATTATTAATTTAATGAACTCTATAGGGTCATGCTGCCAATGTTTGAAATCCCAGTCTTAACATTCATTCAATAAACATTCATGGAGTCTATATTAAGTGTGAGGCACTGTGCTAGGTGCTTAGTACACATTATGAACAAAACAGATGAGATCCTGTCCTTGTACAACTTACAGCTTAGGAAA